CATGAAAACATTATACTAAGTGAAAGAAACTAGACACAAAGAACCACATATTGTATACCACTTATATAAACTGTTCAAATAACATTTTATATAAATTTGAACATTTGAACATTTTTCTCCATACAGAAAGTAGATTAGTGGTTACTTAGGACTGGGGGTGGGCAGTAACTGCTAATGGGTACTGGGATTCTTTAGGAGTAATGGAATTGATAGCAGTGATGGTTGCATAGCTCTATGAATATACTAAAAACCAGTGAATTACATATTTTAAAAGGGTGAATTTTAGGGCCGGCCCATGGCTCACTCGGGAGAGTGTGGTGCTGATAACACCAAGGCCACGGGTTCGGATCCCATATAGGGATGGCCGGTTAGCTCACTAGGTGAGCGTGGTGTTGACAACACCAAGTCAAGGGTAAAGATCCCCTTACCTGTCATCTTTAAAAAAAAAAAAAAGTGAATTTTATGTTTTGTGAATTATATCTCAATATAGCTGTTATTAAAAATGTGAAAAAATAATAGGCAGTTGCCAGCTATTTTCAAAAAGTACAGTATTTCAATAAAAACAACAGAAACTATATAGGTAATACCAATATGTCACATTTTGGTTTTGCTTAAGAGTGAGGCAAATGAGCATGGTCACTCTGGTTAGTTAATACTAATAACAACAGTTCCTCTGTAATGACGAGCATTTACTGTACTTTGCATACACCAACTCACCTAATCCTTGTAAAGCCCTATGATGCAGGCATTTCATTATCTCTGTTTTTTAGATGGGGAAATTGAGTTTAGGAGAGTTGAATAACTTGCCCGTGGTTGCGCAGCACTGAAGTTGCAGAGCCAGGATTTTAACCAAATCTGATTGCAAACTGCCTCCTTGCATTGTGTGGACTGGAAATTCTGTGTGGAGGTTAATTTTATTCATTTGTTGTTTAGTTCTACTGATAATTATAGAGTCACCAATGGCAAAGCCAGAAGATTTACTACTTACCCCTAAGCTACTCCAAATCTAAGAAAAAACTGTGCTTGCTGCTAAAGTATGTTCAAAAAGGTAAAATCATGACTCTCTTGCAAATAAAACATGAACTTGTATCAACATTTTTATTTAACTCATTAATTAATGAGGAAACCAGTAAGATATTAAAACCAGTTCAAATGGGAATTTGATATACAGAGATTTACATTCTTTTCTAACAAAATTCATTTGTTTCATTGTAACAGGAATCATTTGCATTGGCAGATTAGGCTTTCAGCAGTAGCATTAGCCAGCTCAGCCTTTGTAGGGAGAATTCCATGTTGTTGAGCCCACGCATACCCTCTATCCCTGCTGCCATGACCTCTTTGTTCATGGGCTTATAGAGCAGGCACTTCAGTAGCTGGGTCTAGAGGCTGTCTGACATCCACAGAGCACATAATTTTGTCCACATGATTAAGAGTCTCCTCTAGGGTGAAGATATCTGCCATCAAAGGGCATCCACATGGGACACAAATATCTTCACAGTCTGCCCATTCAGATGGGTCCAGCCACATATGTCTTTCAAGATTTCCTTGTTATGGGCCGGCCGGTGGCGCACTCGGTAGAATGTGGCGCTTGGGAGTGTGGAGGCACTCCCGCCGAGGGTTCAGATCCCATGTAGAGACCAGTCCGCTCACTGGTTGAGCGTGGTGTGGGCGCGACACCGAGGGTTGCAATCCCGTTACTGGTCACGAAAAAAGACAAAAAGAAAAAAAAAAAAGATTTCCTTGTTAGAAATCTTCCAATCCTCTTCTTTTCAAGGCCCTGACCATCCACCCAAACCATGAGCAACTGCCCATGAATCCATGTAGATATGTACTCTGGCCATCTCTCATTACAGACATAGTGGACAACCAAATATATGGTTTGAATTTCTGCCCACTGGGACTTTCCCTCGCCCTGTCCTTCACAGTCATCCCTGAGTGTGAGTGAATGTTGCTACTTTCATGTGATACCAGCATGTCAGATAGACCCAATCCAGGCTTGAGTTTTTCTCCCTTAGTACACCAGCCATAAGCAACACTGCAAGAGGCCATAGGCTTGGAATAAGGGAGAGGAGGCAAAGTACAGGAGTTGGTGTTGAAGCACTCTGAGCCACCTGCTCATGCAATTTACCTGTACCTTCTGGACCTGCCTGAGTTCAGTCTCTCATATACCATTTCCATTTGTTGATTGCTGCTTTATAGCTAAGTACATCAGACAACATCCTGTTCATGATGGGAGCTCAAGCTGTGTGGTCACCTGATATCCCATGGTTAGGCATTCAGCCTCTACCAAGGCCAGAATCTGCTCCTCAAAAGGAGAATAGCTATCTTCAGAAGAGGGCACAGATTTGCTTCAAAATTCTAGAGATCTGCACTGCCTCCTATTAGTGTATTCCAGAGCGTCCATATAGCATTCCTATTTGACACTTCAAGTACCACTGGATCTGTTAGATCACAAGACCCAAGCAGTAGAGCAGCTTTACTGCAGCCTGAATGTTCTGCAGGGCCTTCTCTTATTCTGTTCCCCGATCCACCAGCCTATGGATTCAGCTAAAGTAGCACACTCAATGTGGTATGCTGCCTCCAAAACCCAAAATGACCTCCTGCTGTAGGCTGGATGTTTGTGTCCCCCCAAAATTCATATGTTGAAATCCTAATCCTAATGTGATGGCAGTAGGAGATGGAGGCCTTTGGGAGGTGATTAGATCACGAGGATGGAGGCCTTTGGGAGGTGATTAGATCACGAGGATGGAGCCCTCATGAATGGGATTAGTGCCCTTATAAAGAAGCCCCAGAGAGCTCCTTCACCCTTGCACCACATGAGGATAGAGCAAGAAGGCACCATCTATGAAACAGGAAGTGGGCCCTCACCGCACACCAAATTTGCTGGTACCTTGATCTTACACTTCCCAGCCATCAAACTGTGAGAAATAAATTTCCATTGTTTGTAAGCAAGCCAGTATATAGCATATATTCTGTTATAGCAGCCCAAATGGACTAAGGCACCTACCAAGCACTGTGTTCCTTTTTTCTCATTAGTGATGCAAGATGCACCAATTTGTCTTTCACCCCAGGAGGGATATTTCAACATGCTCCAGACCTCTGACTCCAGAAATTTCACTGCTAGTATCAATTCTGTATCAGTCTGGGTCCAATCAGGAGAAAGAGGCCATCCAGTAATATGAACAAAGAAAGTTTAATGTAAGAAGCATTAACTATATCAGGGAATTGGAATAATGAGGGAATGGCCAGTAAAAGGCAAAGAGAACTCTAAGCAACGTAGGAATGATAGTATAAGAAGCAGCCACCACCCTAGAATTGAAAACTCCTTCAACTTCTATTATAATGATAATTAAACTGTACATCATATCTCCAGTGTTAAGAGGTGGCCTAGTACCCCAAAGGTTCTGACCAAATATGAGTGAATTAATTAATACAGCCAATATTGGCACTCTAGCAGCTTCCAGGAGAATTAGTCTGTTTCCTGCCACGTGTGCCAGACCCAAAAAGGAATCTCCAACACACACCTGGATGCTTCCGTCCAATCTGGAAGTGCATCTGGAAGTGCTGGTAATGGCCGCAAGGGAGCCCTCAGTGCAGGGCTGAGTGTAGCCTTTGTCAACTTCTCCTTAAGAAGAGGCAAAAGCCCAGCCCATCTTCGTAGACTGTCCCCAGCCCGGAAGCTACACAATCGCCCCAAAGAGTCTAGCACTGCTCCGTCTGCTGCGTGAGGCAGCGCCGGCCTGGCTTCGGGGCGGTAACAGGCGCAGGTGGGATTCCCATCAAAGGCTCCTGCCCGGACCTAGAGGAAAAAGCGCCGGGGGCGGCCGGCGCGGGCCAGCCCCTCCCTGGCCAGGCGCGGCCCGGCCTTAAAAGCGGACAGGAGAGCCAGGCCCCCGGCGGAGGCCAGGACGTGGCGAGGCCGCAGAAGGGGCGCACGGGCGGCTGCTGACCGACTACCCGCGGTGCTGCGCCCGGGAGCCCGGCGCCCCCGAGCTGCCGCCGTCCACGCCCGAGGCCGCCGTGCTGCGCGGCGCGGCCGCCAACCTACGGCAGCTGCTCGGGTCCTTCTCCCCCGACGCTGGCCACCAGGGGAACCGCGTGGAGCTGATGGCGCGGATGGTGGAGGCCGTGCTCTCCGACAGCCGTGGCCTCAGCTGGGGCCGCGTGGTGGCGCTCGTGACCTTCGCCGGGACGCTTCTGGAGAAAGGGCCGCGGGTAACCGCCAGGTGGCAGAAGCGGGCCCTGAAGCCGCGGCCGAAGGACACGGAGGAAGAAGGCGCCCCGGACCGCCAGCTCTTGGTGGACTTGCCGAGCGCTGGGCTCATGGGTGGCGCCGCGCCTGGCTGCAGGCTCAGGCAGGCCGGGTGAGCAGGGGCGGGAAGGTGGCCCAGGGCGCGCCCACGCGGACCCGCTGCGCCAATGCCCCGGTGGGCCATTGTGGGGAAGACAGGATCATTTAGTCAAGCTCCCTCAGCTCAGGTCTGGTTGGGGGTCGTGCAGCACATTCTTTGTAAACAAGCTGTGTGGGTGGAGTTAGTGCACATGTGCATCACTGTATCATTTTAGTTACTTGCTATTGTGTGTTCTTGAGTTTGTGAAGCAGGCTGGCTGGCAGAACTTGTCTAAAGATAGAGCATGTTTACTCTGCTGGCAGCTGCTCAATTTCAGTTTTTCAGTGGACTTTGCTGGTAGCACTCGAGTTTATGAGTTTCTCTATGGACTGCCTATCTCCTAGACGTGTGTGTGCTGAAATAGACTATTCCTACTTCAACCAAGGCTCTAGGGACCTTTTTGCTGGTTACCTAGCTCATAGACCTGTGTGTGAAGGGATCTGTGAATGGGCTGGAGGGGTCTGTGAGGTCCAGACCCAGCCCTAGCTCTCCCGCCAGGTCCCAGTGTGAAGTCCGGGGTCTCCTCTCAGGGCAGGTAGACTGGCAGGCTGGCAGACTACAGGGCTCTCTCCAACCCGTTCTGAAACAGCTGTGCAGGACTCACGACTGCACGCTGTGACCTGGCCCTTGCCTTAGCCCTCCCTCGGGGGCCTTTAGGAAGCAACCACGTTAGGTCTGGGTGCTTTGCTCATGTTTGACCAGCTAGTTGGTCAGCAGTGGCATGGCGGGGCCAGGTGGATTTTTTTCTCCTTCACCCATTGAATGTGTTGATCTGGAGGTGGCAGGGCACCAGTCTAAAGCATTAGAGTAGGAAGGCATCCCCTTGCCCAGCCCCCACACCACTCGGAGGCCCCGAGGCCAGAGGGGTGCAGAGGGAGGGGTGCATAGTCACTCAGTGGTGGCTCTGACATTGTGGAGTGACCTTGGGCACCAGCGGAGGCGCTGACTCGAGGTTCCTTAACTTCTAATCCGCTGCACCCATCCCCTGATGGGGACTTTTCCAGGCAGCCTGGCTTTCAGCTGTAGGTCCTTAATCCCTGATCTAGGTTAGAGGGGCAGGCCCTTGGCTTGTAGCTCCCCTTCAGGAAGCCTTCATCAAGCCTCATCCTCAGTGGAGTTGATTCAAGGACTGAAGTGACCCACATTTTAGAATAAATATAGCCAAACTACTAAAACTCTAGGGACTTAAAAATAATCCTAGGGGCTCAAGGGTTAGCTCAGATGGTTAGAGTGTGGTGACACCAAGGTCAAGGGTTCAGATCCCTGAACCAGCCAGTTGCCCCCCTCCCCCCAAAAATCTTGAAACTTAGCCTCCTGTTGGCAATTTCCATTTAGACCCCGTGTGGTGATGAATTGGGTCCATTTGAGGAGGAAAGGTAGTATGAAGTGTCAGTATTAACTCCTGCATTATTCCTGATGTTCCTGTTGGTCGTCAACATCTGGGCCAGCGAACTCCTTGGGCTGAGTTTAAGAACCCCACCTGAGCCATTTGTCTTAATGAGGCATCTGGCCCCTAAGGGCTCTCCACCCTAAAGAGGAGGGATCCATTGTTGGTTTTGTTTTTTTGTTTTGTTTTGTTGGCTAATCAACTATTGATTGACTAAGGAATAACCTCTTAACATCAAGAAGTTCACCCTGGCCTCTCCCAGCTGCAGTTAAAATGCCACAGCATAGAGTTCAATTTCCTCCCTAAATGGAGCTGCTTACTATATTATCCCAGGTGATAACTTTTCAATCTAGTGATTTGACAGTTTCCCAAATGGCATCTGTCTTTTGCTCAGAAAAGAGCATAGTACTCCACCTTCTTCTTGGCTTTGGGTCGAAACATGAACGGTCTGGGGCTGGCTGGTTAGCTTAGTTGGTTAGAATACTGTGTTATAATGCCAAGGTCAAGAGTTTGGATCTCCATGCTGGCAGCCACCAAAAAAAACAAAAAAAAAAAAAAAAAAAAATGTTCCTGTTAAGTGACAGAATTAAATGATTGCTTCTATACCCGCTGTTGGACTACTTCTTACAAATCTTAACTCATCGAGGGTTTCTAATTACAGGTTGCCTGTCATTCAGAATTTCCTTTCTTTTTAAATCCAAGAGTTGTTTTACTGTCTAATCTAGAACCTCCTGTGTATTTTGAGTGCAGATCTTTTTTTTTTTTTTTGTCTTTTTTCCGTGTCCGGCAACGGATCGCAACCCTCAGTGTTGCCCCCGTACCGGACCGGGGACCGGCAATGGGATCGCAAGCCTTGGCGTCGCTCCCGCGCCTCGCTCAGCCAGTGAGCGGGAACCGGTCTGCATGTGGGATCCGAACCCTCGGGCGGGAGCGCCGCCGCGCTTCCCAAGCGGTGCACTTATCCAGTGCGCCACCAGGCCGGCCCCCACTAATGTTTCTTTTCTAACACTTACATCTCATTTTCTTTTTCTTACTTAATTGCATAAGTTTGTGAATGGGAGTGATGACTTTTTTATCTACCAGGAATTCACTTGATTTCTAGTCTATTGATGGCTGGCTTCTGGCACATTTTTTCACTTTAGCATTTGAGGAGGAAGAACATGTGGAGACATTGCTCAGACCATAACGTAACCTAGACTCTCTAGGGTTTTTTGAGTCAATTAAGGATTAGACACACCTACTGTTAATTCTCTGAGGTAAGAAACCATCTCCTGAAGGTGAGCGTCGCTGACTGTGCGCGGCCGCGAGGCCTTCCCATTTCGGGGAGTGTTTGTGATTAGAATGTCTAGCTACCAGAGAGAATTGTTTTTCCCACGTGGTAACCACTTCCTTGTTTTCTGGAGTGTGGATGCTTGTTCCACAAGCTCAGTACTGTGGGCTCATGAGAAGAACGATTAGCATGATGTAGCACTGGTTTCTGTGACAGTTTAGGCTCTCTCAGGTGCAAATTCTTAGTGACGCCAATACCCGTCAGCCTGTAAGTCCTAAGTCCCTCAAGTAGCACTTCTCAAAGGGTGACAGTTCTGAAGTCTTGGAGATCAGGGACTTTTGCCCTTGTTGAAGGACAATATGTTTGTTATTATCGATCTCAAGTTTTTCCTGCATTTCTACCTTCGAGATGGGCACTTCTAGGTAAATGTTGTTTGCTTCAAACACATGGATTTGTTTTCCAGCCGTACTTTCCGTAGAACCTTGGAGTCCTTTTGGGCCCTGCCCCCTCCTCTCCCCGCTGCTTTTCCCAACTCACACCAGTATTGCTCCCAGGACGTACCTCTATTAATCAAAATATTCTCCATTCTCCCTCTTGTAGCCTTCCCTGGTGCCATGTTCCTTTAGGATCTTAAAAGCTCCTTCCAACTCTCTTTGATTACTTTTCATCTTTACATGCCCCTAGTTCATCTGCAACTCTGCGACCTAGAGAATACTAGTAAAATATGTATCAAACAGATCCTTGTTCAAAAATCTTTATAGATCAGTTGGTTAGAGTGTGGTGTTAGAACACCAAGGTCAAAGGTTCAGATCCCCGTACTGGCCAGCCACCAAAGCAAACAAAATATCTTTATGGATTCTTCATTGCCTACAATGGAAACAGTTCAAGCCCCTGGACTGGCTTTCCCTCACTACTCCCCACTACTCCTGCCAGTCTATCTCACTGTCCCTTGGATTTGTGTCATGCATCCTGTCCCTCATCCTTTTTTTGTTCATGCCATTTCTCCAGCAAGACCATTCTTTCCATCCACCAGCTTTGCTTGTTGAAATTCTTCAATACCCATACTAAATCCTATCTCCTCAAGGAAGTTGCAAGAGAACATCCTCCCTCCTAGTGCTGAGCGCTGTTTGTGCTCCATAGTTGGCTTAAATTGCTGCTTTGTATTTCAGTTCTTCCTTTCCTTACCACCCCCATTTCCTTCTCTCATCTCCCTCAAATGGGCTGTAAATTATTAAGCACAAATTCCTGTCTTCTACTACCCCCAACTCATTATCAACACAAATCAAGCATATATGGTGTTCAAATACTTAATTATTACCTTGTGTTATCTTTTTTAATGTTCCTCACATGTGCAGAACACAGAATCATTAGTTCATAACATACTCAACATCGCTCCATGTGTGCATGGTCTTATTTCTTTTTTTTTTATTTTTTTTTATTTTATTTTTATTTTTATTTTTTTATTTTGTCAATATACAATGTATATGATTGTTTGTGCATGGTCTTATTTCTAATGAAATAAGAACCATGAACCCACCACTCAGCATAAAAGCTGGGGCCTTGACCAAAACATCCAGCCCTGTGGTCTTTCCCAAACGCTTCCTACCGCAAGTACTTAAAACTAAAGACTGAAGTGCCCTGCTATGACAGCGGGCCAGTCAGCCTAACCCAGACTGAGGATTCCAGGTGGCCCTCCCTGGAGGTGATGTTTGAGTCCCAGGAGGAGTGGAGAGCCCTGAGGAGCAGAGAGGGAAGCAGGAGCGTGATGGGAACCAAGATGAGGCAGAGATTTGGAAGTCAGGACTCCTTAACATCACAGGACAGAGCTGCTGGCGTGACTAGGGCTCAACTGCTTTCTGAGTAGTCCCGTGGCCCCTGCCTGGAGTGCAGGTCGCCCTTCTGCTCCCCGCTGGATCTTGACTGGCTGCCCCACCCCTTCCCTCCTCCCGCTGGCAGGGCCATGACATGGCAACAGGAGTTACTATGACAGTATGTACTGAATGGGGTAGAGTGTCCTGCGGGATCAGTTGTTGCAAGTAGCAGTATAAGAGAAGCTCAGTGACAGGGTGTTCCTTCCCTGGTGTTGCTGCTCCCACACAACATCCTATCCTGTGTGCATAGTCATGGCTCAAACTGCGACTCTTGTCTCACGCCGTTGGCACCATAACCTCCTCGAGGGAAGCGGCTGTGTCCTCCTTGTCCCATTTGTATATCCGTCGTCTAACACAGTGTCTGGTATGGGACAGAGGAAAGGACCTGTGTAACTAATCTGAATACAATGCTAATCAGATACTCCCATTCCAGAGGAGGAATCAAGATAGCGGAATGGACGGTCCCCAGCGTCACTCTCTCCCACAAATCAACCAATTCACAACTGTTAAAAAGCAATGACAGCCATGCTGGGGCAGCTAA